TGAGTATTTTTATCCCTCAAAATTAATTTACAGCACATCTGCCACAGTAGGATATATCATTTCCCTAAAGAAAAATCAGTGTTTTTCTTGTGCAATTGGCTTTTCAGTGGCACGCAGATTATATATAAAGCATTCGTGCACAAACAGTTCATTCTGCCCTGGTTATTTTCCCTGTCATAGCGTGAGTATTTTTAGCCCTCATGTGATCCTCCAGTATTTTCCAGCTCTGCTTTAGTCATCCTGCTCTCACTGAATATTTCAAACTAAAACATCTAACAGCCTTCAGATCTAAAAACCTCTCGCACTTTTAGCTTACAAGTAAATAATTAATTTTGTTAAGCTGTCTTTTACCTGCGCATTTTTGACACCCCACACCCATACACAGAACAGCGCTCCATGGAGATTTGCTCCGACACACAGGAGTACTTACATAAGGCACTAAGCTAAAATCCTGACAACCTGATCACCATTTTCAATTTGATCAGACGAAGCTCTTTCTGCTCTTTTCCACAGGGAGCATTAGAACTGGCACAAACAACAGTGCCCTAATATTTTAATCCCTTACCATAATTTTGACTCTACATCTGTAGGCTGTTTACCACTGCATTAGAGAAGAGCGGAGGCTGTAGGAGATCGAAAGGCGGCTCAGGGCTGGCAGATGGCGTTATATCTAAAAGCAGCTGTGGTGCTGTTGGCAAAGAGCCTGCAGCGGTGGTCTGTGCTGCTGGCTCCACTCCTCGAAGGATGAAAACATACCCGTTCCCCCAGCAGGGAGCTGCATTTACCTGGCAAATCCTTGCTGCTCCTACTATTTCTAGAAGCAGCCTTTTACACGTCTTACTGAAGCCATCCACCCTCCGTACAGTCATCGGCTTGGCAACAAATCGGCTCTGTCTCTCAAGGAAGGGACGAGGTAACGCGAGGGTGGCACAGCAGATTAGTTTTAGGGACCTATTTACGCTTCCATTTCCGAGCTGCATTATCCTTGACCTGTGCTGACTCCTCAGTCGGATTGCCTTTAGGAGAGGTAGGGCCATGGCTGTTGCACTGCTCCCCGATTAACACAAAACCCAGTGCATTTTCAGGTTTCTTGAGTTTCGCTTTGTTTAGAAGCACTTTTAAAAATGAAATAAAGACCACACTCGGCATTTGCAGAGATACAGGTAAATACCCATGTATAGGTACAGATACCAGCTACCTGATACCATGGGTCTTGTCACGCTTTAGTGTCAGATTAAAATACCAAAAATAATTCTAACTCATGGCAGCTACCTTTCTGGGTAAGCTTTCAGAGCAGGCTTTAGGGATTTGACCCCTTTCTTGTTAATTGAAAGACATATCTTAGTCTACCTCTGAAAACACAGAGTTAGAACAGAGTGTTATAAAGTCGTTATGAATAATTAAAGAGATCAGCACCTCCTAAATCATTCAAAACCAAAACCCTGGCAAAGGGAACTGGAAGAGTTATTCTGTGGAACAACAGGAATCATCTGAAACAGATATGAAATTACTGGTAGCTAAATAAATTATTCCTTTAGGAATATTTCATCAATTTAGAATAGGCATATTGGAAGGTCTGTCAAAACAAAAAATATAGTGTGAATGAGTACCCATATGCCTACTTGCTCCTGATATTGAACAATAAGTGCATGTATTTACATATGTTCACTGCACACTGTTTAAAAATTTTTTGATTATGCTGGAAGATCTTCTGGGTTCTTTATTTTCTCTCACTATTGCTTCTTTTTGTTTCATTAATGAACTGAAACAAGACAGTACTAAAATTTCAAAGCTTCAGTGTTACTCTAGAACAAATCACACAAATTAAAAGTGACATTTAAAAAAAAAAGGTACCAAAAAAAAAAAAAAAAGAGCCAAACTACTGTGGCAAACTGCTACAGATACTGGCAAATGCTTGCTGCATTGGTGTAAGAGGTTATTGCATCAAGCAGCCCACAATGTTTACTGCTGCCACAACAAAGTCAGTGGAAGTAAAGCCATGCCCAAAACCTCACCCATTCCACTGAAGACCTAAGAACATAGAATAACAAAATAATCAACATAAAACTCATAGATAGCCATTTAAACTGTGCCACCTGATGTTGCACTTACCCACGGGCATGTATTCCCTCTTTGTGCCTGTATCATCAAGGAAGACAAAACTCCAGATGGGGTGGGGAATTCTTAGCCTGCCGCAGAACTCATGAGACCTTATCTTTTTTTTCCTTTTTAGTATAAATGGCTAAGCTTGTTTTACTCACATGGGCACATTATGGTTCTTATAACAACTGTAATGAATACTCCTTCATTTCCAGTTAAGCGTGCATGAGCATGCACAGACACACACACACACAACAGAAGTAAGGAAGCACATCTTTCATGGTAATTTCCCAACTACCCAGGACTTGCTTCCACATCATCCCAATTTACTTCCAAACAGCAGGAGATGAGGCAGACACAAGCTTGCAGATGCATATGGCCCACCTCCCAGAGTGTCCTCTATCAACAGGCACCCAGTTAGGGCTCCCATCCTTTCAAGCAATCAGGCTACATGATGAGGTGAGGTGAGGCACAAAGGCACAATGCATCAGGGAAATGAAAACGTGCTCACCCAGCAATTGAATAAACCTAAGCATGGCTGACACCTAAATGAAATAGTCCTGTTCTAAAATGCAGGCAGCAATACAAGCTACAACTCTCATTTCACCTAGCATCATGCCATGTCTACACGCCCCCCTCCCCACCTCAAAAAAAATTAAACTAGTGTCCTGCCTGTCATACTTCTCGACAATATTTAAGCTAATAATGAAGGAGGCTTTCCAGGAAAAAGCTAACTTCCACAGCCACAGAATCTTACCAAAGATCATTACATTATATCTCAGTTGTCCTATGCCATACAAGGGCTGAGGAGGCACAGGACATGTGCTTCATACAGCCAGCAACACGACATGAGATCACTGCATTATCCTCCATATCAGCTGCCTGGTTCCACTTCAGCAGCTATTCTATTTCTCTAGGATTGTCACCTCCACAACTTTAATTTGCATGACACATTTGTGACTTTGGTACAAACAGACCATCTGCAAGAACTAACAAGCATGGTAAAGTCTGTATTTAATAAAAGTTTCTTTTCCAATTTCTCAATTGGGTAACACCATGACATTAGCACTTGGGGTTTTTTTTGTTTTCAAAGGGAGTACAAGACATCACATGGGAAATTATAGCATACCAGGCCCTGAAATTCAGAAGTTTAGACACAAGATGGTGCAAAACAAAGACGTAAACAAGCTGCAAAAGCCCAGAGCAGCACTGGCCTGCTATTAGGCGCTCAATTTCCTGGAAGCACTAATGAGCTGAAGGCAGCTGGCCAAGTATGCCCCACTTTGATGTCAGAAGTGATCAGAGCAGAACGCTGAAATCTGGGTATGATTCCAGAGCATAAGCCAGCCTAAAACAGAGGGTGCCTCAAACCTGCCCCTTCCCTTTGCCAGCACTGGTGCACACCTGAGCCCACGAGAAGACGGGTCACATAATTAAGCCAACTGAAAATTAATCATTATTTGAGGACTGGGTTAGCATGAATAAAGTAAACCCAGGACAGAACAATAAAGGAATTAAGTGTGTGTGCATGTGTGTTTCTGTATGCACAAACCTATACATGTACAGTCAACCAACCCCAGTAACACTAGTTTAGTCTTTTTTTTTTTTTTTTTTTTTTTTTTTTAAATGTTAGCGGCTCTCCTGTTCACTTAACTCTCAGTTATCAAAAAAATGGCATCTGCTTAGTGACCAATCATGCCCATATTACATAAAGATCAGGCTTAGTCCTTCGGCCCATTCCAGACACTGTCGTGGTTTAACCCCAGTAGGCAGCTGAGCCCCACACAGCTGCTTGCTCACTCCCCCCCCGGCAGGATGGGGGAGAGAATGAGAAGGGCAGAAATGAGAAAACTCATGGGTTGAAATAAAGACAGCTTAATATGTAAAGCAAGTGCCACATACCCAAGTAAGGCAAGATAAGGAATTCATTCACTACCTCCCATTGGCAGGCAGGTGTTCAGCCATATCCAGGAAAGCAGGGCTCCATCACACGTAACACTTACTTGGGAAGACAAGCGTCATAACTCTGAACATCCCCCCACCTTTCTCCTTCTTCCCCCTAGTTTTATTGTATGGAAAATCCCTTTGGTCAGTTGGGGTCAGCTGTCCCGGCTGTGTCCCCTCACAACTTCTTGTACACCCTTAGCCTACTCACTAGCAAGGCATCTGAGAAACAAGAAAGGCCTTGATGCTGTGCAAGCACTGTTCAGCAATAACTAAAACATCCCTGAGTTACCAACACTGTTTTCATCACAAATCCAAAACATAGCACCACATAATCTCCTATGAAGAAGATTAACTCTATCCTAGCAAAACCCAGTATAAACACAAAACAAAAAGTTAGAAGACAGAGGTATCTTTGAGAAAGAGCAATAGTTGTATGTTGCTCACTTAAGAGAACTACCGTACCTGAACAATGAGCACATATAAAGCCACAAATCAATTCATTTTTTTCCTTCTTAGTCAGACCTTAAGATTTGGAAGCATTTCACTCACCACAAAAAATTAATAAAAAAGAAATCAGCCTGTGCTGGCAATTTCCTGTAAGGGCGGAGGTGTGAGAGAGAAATTTAATGTTCTTGAATACACTTACACACACCACATTCATTGACAAGAAGGTTAAATGCCTTTGTCTCCATCCTCAGACATCACTAAAATCCACATCACCTACATCAAGGGTTCACAGGGGGGAAACCCTATGCTTGATAGGGCTGGGCCAAACTAGAGCGCACCACAAGAAGTTAACTTCTGCCATCTCAGATGCTAAGCCTATGGACAAGGAAAAAAAAAATGGCCCACCCACACAAGGAAATAATTTTTAACTAGTATTTACGTAAAATGGATCACAGTTTATAATTGTCTTCAGAGACAGAAATGGAATTCTGGAAGACACAAAATACCTGCAGTTGGAGAGTTTGCATGGTGAGACTTTTTGGGCAGGTTGAAGATTTGTTCACCAGGATCTGGTGGGGGAAGAGCATCTTGGCCTTGTCGAGCTTCCACAGGATCATACTCCTTCCCATCATAGTTAGCATCAAAGAACTTCTTAAACCATTGAATGAAATCTAAGTTGTCTTGGAAGCGCCCTTTGACCAGTTTTTCCACAGGAATTACCTGAAATGTAGAATAAAGGTTCCAATAATATATCACTGCCATTTTTAAAAATAAAAATTACATATACACACTTAATTGGGGGAAAAAAAAAAAATCTAACAACTATATCAGCATATATTCCCCTGTTATTCTTTTCTTCCTAAAAGAAAAGGAAATTATGGTAGATTTGGAAGTGCTCTTAATAAGAAATAAAACTGAAATAAAATGATGACCCAGCCTTTGAAGTGGCTATACAGTGGGTGTATGTAACCCTTTATTACTGCTCTTCCACTGAGTTACTCCTTCCTTACTGCAGTAACAGCCATGATGAATGAAGCTGTTCAGAGAGTAACACTATATTCCACTAACTAGGGATCTCTGTTTTAATGGACAAGCTACAGTTGGGCATACTAAAAACGAACAATTCTTCAAAAGGTCCAGACGGGAGCTTCTTGCTCTCTGTCGTACCGTTTGAACGACAAAAAACCCAGCAACTTTTCCAAGACATGCTGAAGTTCAAACCAACCTACATTTTGGCAGTACATGTTCATCGTATGAACTAACCCTGAGGTTTTAACCTTGTAATTTTTTTCCATTCCATATATAGCTATACATAGAACAGTTCATGGACATGCAGAAGTTGACTAAAATGCCTATAAAGTTTTAGTAAAACAAAAGAAAGGCTTTGAGGATGTCTCCGTATCCATATCCTGCAAAATTTTTCACAGAAACAAAGCCTCCAAAAGGTGCCGTGGGCCAATATTAGTGTAAGGAGGTGGTTCAGCATTGCTCTACAAGAGACTCAACCTTCCCAGACACTGTGGGCAGACAGGGTCTACGAAGGGAATGCTGCAGAAGGAGGGCTGCCTTGCCTTGCTTAATTAATACAGTTGATTAAAGAGCCAAGTTAAATGGATCTTAATGCCTCCCGAATGCATTCAATTTTCAGCTGGAAGAAGGGTACCTAAAACCACTGCAATTTTCATTTCTTCTTCAAGGTTAAGCCAACTGTGCAGCATTTTATAAGTCTACTATACTCCTACAAGGATTAATGTAGCATTTTGCCTGTCCTTTCACGTTGTTCCTTTTGTATCTTAACTCTGTATTGAGAAAGTATAGCAAGTTTGCTCCCTGCAGAAAAATTGACAATGTTAACTTTATTAGGCTTTCCAATGTTTCGTTAACAACTTACACTGTAAATAGAAGCATCCACAACATTTCAGGAAATAATGACCATTTTCCACTGCTTTAAAAATGTCTTACAGGACTCTCTATTAAGAGACTATTAAATTATTAAACTTCAGAATAAGGCAACACTAGAAGGCAGAGCAGAACCATAAAAGGATATACAGGTAGTATATCTGTGTAAAACTAAAAGTATGACAACATAACTTGCATTATTCATTTTTATTAACATGGTGATTTATACTGGTGAGCCCGTCAAATTCATGCATTCAAGCATAAACCAGTGCCTTATGGCTGAACAAGCCAGAGCAGAACCATAAAAGGATATACAAAGGATGTGTAAAACTAAAAGTATGACAACATAACTTGCGTTATTCATTTTTATTAACACGGTGATTTATACTGGTGAGCCCGTCAAACTCATGCATTCAAGCATAAACCAGTGCCTTATGGCTGAACAAGCCATTTTCTTAGAGCCCTCCATTCTTTACAAGATCATATGTGCTGGCCAACCTATCAGATAGTTGGATAAATTATTCCAGCTTTTGAATACTTTGAATTCCTTAAACCCCATTTTGGACAAGAAACATGGAATACTTGTAAAAACAGCATATTTCCAAGTTACTTGGTTGGAAATTCAGGTCACCAGTAATTTTACTGTATCTAAAAATCAAGGTTCACTGATGCTAAGGAATTTCCAACACATGGTATTTTATCAAAAGGGTCTCTGATATTAAGATATAATGAGTTAGGCTGCACAATTCCTCAGCGGACACATGGACTCAATTTTCACTTTGTACCTAAATGGAGCATGCCAAATTTCTTCCTTCATGCCTAAATACCCTTTTCGGATAATGAAAGGTCAAGAAGAACATCTTCATGTACAACTTGTACTCCAGTTCTCAGTTCAAAAGTTGAAAAAGTGGACTTTAAGTATTTTGAAGTTTATTTACCCTATTTATTGACTTCACCCAGTTTACACAACTTTTGACACTTGTAGTGATTGAAATACAAATACAGAATGCCTACCTTATCCACATTCATTCTTTTAAATGATGCTTGCAGAAGTTTGAAGTTGTGAATGTATTCATGCTCCAGCTTTGCTTGAAACTTTACTTTCTTCAAGCTAATGCACCCTGGGAACAGCATGTCCATGAACTGGCAGTAAGCTGCTCCTATAACAAGAGAATGCACTGACATTAATCCAGATGCACCCAGCTAAGACCAAATGGCATTTAATGTCATTAGCAGAAGGCATGAGCAGAAAGCAACCGTGCCGAGTAAGTCCCTGCTGTAATTCAACCTAACACTATGCACCCCAGATCTACTTGTCTAATGTACATTGAACAGTGTGACATATTAATGTGGGTTTTTTTCCATTCAGTCTGGATGCACGATGCACTGTTGTGTAGCATCTGAAGAACCACCATGACTAATGCAAAGTAAATCTATCTTCTATTTAAAACTGATGTTCTTGGAGTCCCTATACACAGTGGGACTGTCCATACAGTGAGAAGATCACAGTCAAAATGGAAATCTCTTAATAAGCTCCCTCAATCCTCACAGCCCCCTGAATTCAACCAAGCCAAGATCTTCTTTCTTCTGGCACATGTAGCTGCATGCCAATCAAGTCCAAGGCAATAATTTAAAATTATATCAAACCACGATTTTAAAAAAATAAATTGTAAAGCTGCAGCTTGTTAAAACATACTAGTAGCCAGTTCTCACCCCTCCAAAACAAACATCTTTACTGATTTTCATCTCCTGAGAAAAGCATTTAAATAAGCAGACTTTAGCATAGTCCACCCATACATCTCAGAAGCTGGGCCACCAGCTTTAGATCTCACTCAAAGCAATAAGGTTTCTAAGTTCAGTTTTGAGGGCTATCTGAACTTACGTATTAGTAGGTAGGGGTGTGTGCATACCTAATCCAGCACAGAGCTGCAAGTATATGGAAACTTTTGAGTGTACTGAGTGCAGCTAACAGGGATAGCCTTTCCTTATACGCATGGAGCTTCCTCCTACAACATCATCATGACACTGCCGTTTGCAATATCAGTCTTTACTGTTGAACACACTCAAGTGTTTGGAAATTAAGGCTGAAAATGTTTGAGGAAATCAGAGGAAAACCAATTTCAGTTCTTCTTCAGAAGAGAGTTCCCTACAAAATGCTTTACACTCAGCAAAGATTCAGTGAAGCCCATTTCTGGAGCAGAGGGCTGTAGAGCGTGTGGCCCCTGTGCTTGAGCATACAGGGCAGGGAAGTGATTGCCTGATTACTCCTGGCACGTTCAATTTCACTTCCACAAAAAAGACTTGTGTGCATTTAATGCAGATCAGTTTTGACAAACAAGTGTCCAGATCTCCGCAACAGTTCAGCTCAGTATCAATGACAATGATTTTTATCAAAAAATAATTCTGCTGAGTGCTCATACAGAAACCAAATTAACAAAATGGACGCCTGGCTTGCCCCATTTTACAGGAGGGGCAACAATAGCTTAAACTTTAAGACATTTTTCTCCATGGGTATGCATGTGTTTTGACAGGACCAAGTTCATGCATGAGATACTTCTCATTCTCTGCACCCAATCAACCGTCATATGAAAAGTTACAGAGCCCTTAACGTCCCAAAAAGCCAAGCAGAATTTAAGACTGAAGTCCAAAAAAGTTTCCCAAAATACTAGTAAGAGTTTTGCTAAAGGTCTTACCAAGATCAAGCTTTAGTGCTGAAAACCCCTGCCATTTTTAAAAAAAATTCTCTTCACATTGCCTAGCTTTATGGGGGAAAACTGTTATTAAAAACAAACAAAAAATGTGATCTTCCATGGACACCTTATGCTTAGCTGTTTGCAATGGTTTTGATATGATTAGGAATCAAAGTAAAATATTGCCTAAAGGAAAAGGAGCCTTCCAGCAAGGTACAAATATCAGACAACAAATTTGCATCTTCTTATAGAAAGCTATATAAACACAATTAGTTATTCAAAACTCATGCTTAGCAAGAGAACTGGTAAATATGTGGCAACAGAAAAGTAACATTACAATTAAAAGCATGGATATACAGATAATGCATGGCTTGACTACATTTATCATATTTAATTTCATGCAAAGGGATTATTATGCAATCATTTCGTGTAATAAATTGAATTTGTTCCTAACTCTGTCCTTTCATCCTCCCCATACCCCAATTATAAGCTTTACTCTGATATCTAAGTAATTGCCTGGAGGCCTTAAAAATGCACTGCACAACCTTTCATCTAGATCCTTTTAGAAAACTAGAAACCCAAAGTGTTCACATGAGATTTTCTCCTTCTGCTGGTAATGCAAATTCCTTCTGCATGCCTTTAAATAGAGTCTTACTAGGTTTAAGACTCTAGTTACGGTATTTCCTTGTGTTTCCTTCCCATCATGCTGGCAGTTGTTTCTGTGCTTTTGCCAGCCAGGAGGTGGTTCTGGGTCTGCACGACACTTGAGGGCAGAAAACACTGGACTACACCAACATGACAGCACGAACCTGGTCTCTGACACAACACCGAAGCTGGCTGCCAGGCCGTTTCCTCAACAGGAGGATTTTATTACATCGGCAAACACAATTTATTAAAATGCTCCTTCCTGAAGTACAGAGGCAAATTACAAACATGGACTGAACTAAACACTGGAAACTACAAAAAGAGAAAACTCTCCTCAACTCCCAAAAGGCAGAGACCTGCCTACCACAGCAACAGGAGAAAGTAAAAATATCATTACAGTCAACTGGGACTGCCTGATTTTGGGCACTGAGGTTATGTACACATTTAATATTATATAGGTATTTATTTATAATTTAAAGTTTTACCTCCTAAAGCTTGTAGCTGTCACATCGCATTCAAATGCTAAACGTCAGTGCAGCAGAATGGGGACGATACTTTCTACGCTACCCATAGCTGAGATTTCCTGGAGACAGCAGAAAGAGCAGCCCTACCTAAGTCATGCAAGACTACAATGCCTTTACCTCACAGCCAGGGCGTATAGACACGTGGTCCTCTGCATACTGGACAGCAAATTAGGCCTATTCAATTTATTATACAACCGATGCTTCAATGCAGGTGCATGGGAAAGGAATATTTTTAACCAAACATAAAGAAAATGGCAGTAGAGATGACATCATGGCTTGTGACATACCTCTTGCATAATTTACATGAACAAAAGGATTTTTATGCCATTATATTTTATTCAAGATTTTAAAAGTTCCTTACATCATCTGAAAAAAAGAAACCAACCCCGAATACCAACAACCTGCCCCCCAAACCTAAAAAAAAAATCTGTACACAGGAGTCGAAAACATACTACCTGTTCAGAATGGTTCTCACAATAAATCTGTCTCTGTGACCAAAAAACTTATATATGCATGAAAACATTCACATACACACACACACAAACAGAAATCCTTTGAAATCTACCAAAATGAAAGATGAAAACTACAGCTGGTAGCACTGCAGAAGAAGGATCAATGTTAAAAACCTCTTACCCTCTATTAGCTAGCAAGCAATTTAGAATCACTGGCTAAAAGTCCTTTCGTGTTTTCATCTAGAATATTGATACAGCCATTAGTTACAGAAGATATTCACAGGCCAGACTGCAAAACCAACCCGCAAACAGGGCTGTGCCGGATTACACCCCCAGCAGCCGCTCGTTTTGGCCCGATGAGCGAGCAGAAAGAGCCCAGCAGCATTACAGAGTTTGCAGGTGCTTGCTGGGCTTCCCACACCAGGCTCAGGGCAGAGCAGGCAGCAATATATAAAATCACAAAGTTTTTACAGCGTCGTCAGATTTGTAGACAGTGTTTTGCTAGTCCCCCTTGCAGTAAACAATGCTGAAGTCATTCTAGCTTTGCTTTTGCCCTATACTTTTTCTTTCCCTGCTTCTATTTTTCCTTCCCAGACTGTCCATACTGACTTACAGTTCGCTATGAAGCATATGCACTCTGCATCATTACAGATTTTCACTTTTTCTCCTTTCTCCTCTTCCATCTGGAGGCTGATGAATCCAAAAAAGCAAACAAGTATTTTCTCGATAATCAAAGGTACTTCTGCTTCTGACTACTTAAAGCACAAGAAAATTAAAGGAGATAACAATGAAAACAAGAGAATCCTGTTTTCCTGCAAGTTTTTACTGCTTAGTAAACCTTGTAGATTTCAGCTGGAGAGCAAGACTGGATCCTTGGAATTTTTGGCATTTATGTTTATATATTTATAAAGGAAAATTAAAATATTATTTGCAAACTAACTTCTTTAAATATACTATATTTAGTACTTAGTATACTAATACAGTGTTTAGCAGAAATACTATAATATAAGCTCAGATATGCCCAAGTTAATATTTGTTCCCTATAGGAGGAGTCAGGCCAATCCTTCACATCAAATGCCAGAAGAGTCTGCCCCTGCCCGTTCAGCCTGCAGCGTGTGGGAGCAAGATCCCAGAAAGTCACATAAAACCACACCAACCAACATGGGAACACAAAAGATCCACGAAAAGATAGGGCCTGTCTGCGTGTGGGGCTGCTTTATTCTAATTCTGATGTCCAAACCACAGCAAAAGGAGCCAAGTGCTACACTAGAAATTTGCTATAAATGCTTAGAAAGAATTTTGTTCTAAAATGGCATGAAATTCAAGTTTAAACCTTTTAACAAGGCCTCAGATCGATTTTCACACACTTGTTTTCGAAAAATCCCATTTGGGAAAAAGGCTGACCACACCTTTTTCTGTAATTAGAATTTTTTCTTTGTTCGTTTGCTTTAAGGAAATATTTTCCAGATAATCTAAAATCATATGTCCAGTCACATTAGATACAAATTCCTTCAAATTATTCATTCCCTCCAAAGCTGCAACAACCTCACCACGCATTTGGAAAATACAGGATGATTTGTATGCATATTAGTCATCAGCACTTCAGTTCACTAGAGCAATCATTGCTAACGCTGATGGGAAACTGCACACACCGGGTATTCCTGTTGCTGGGACAACAGCAACAAAAAAAGGCAGTAACTTGCAAGGAGCATGCGTGACCTAATAGTTTTGATAAGAAAGGGGGGAAGAAACCACAAAGGCCAGCAATCATTGTTTACACTACAGCAGCACTTGGGGCTTGCCTTTTACCTCAGGCTTCCTAGAATTGCTTCCGTGGGAGTGATG